ACTAAGGAAAAATATGTTATTTTGTAGAATTTAATTCCTTAACATAATTTCTATAAAATAGTCTAGATTTGATTTTATAAGCCAAAGGCAAGATTATCAGAAACCTCTGTACATAATATTTCTTATCTGCTGCATCTACAACATCTAGACACCTTTGTGACGTATTCTTCAAAGAAAGAAATGGAAGTAAATATGTAAAACAAAACTTTACAATCATTTTCATAGTTAAAATTAACCATGTTGACATGTGAATAATTAAACATGGCTTAGTTCCTTTTAATTATTCCTTAGAATATCTGGATCTCAAAATATTAAATAAATTGGAGATTTTTAAAAATATATGAATAGAAATATTATTAAGATAGCATCTTATTTTCACAAGATTTCTCTATTACCCTTCTTAACAATACTGCTAAATTTTATTCAGATTTTTTGCTTTGATGGTTTTGCATTGTGTATTTAATATTCTTACATCAATTGCAAGATTATTTTAATTAGAAATTATCTATTAGCATCGTGTATGCAAGGGTTGTAAATGTAGAGACCACAGTCTCCAGGATGAACAGCTTCCTTGTATACTGGCTCCATGCATTTGTGCTGTACTTACCCCTAAAAATAACTATGGAAATAAATTTTAATAATTATACTAAAATATCACTTTCATTTCAAGCAGGATCTCTCTTGAATGAATGAGATATTTATTGAGGATAACAACTGAGCTAATGATTCATTTTTGTATCGATTATTTAAAAATTTTCTTTTCTTATGTATTCATTATTATTTATATTATTAATAGTTTGTATTTTTATTGGTACATGCTTGCAGTACCTAATGATTTTATTTCTTGTGAGATGTTAGCAAGTTCTGCAGGGAAAAAAAAGAAGACGTCTATATTTTACATTATTTGTGAGAATGTAGTATATCCACTATAGAAATCAGGATGGCGATTCCTCAAAAAACTAAAAATAGAAATTCCATTCTACCTAGCTATTCTCCTTCTGTATCTTTTTACATTTTCAAAGATTCATAATATGAAGTACCTATACTATAAATGTATTATGTAATTTCCTTACAAACATACTGTTTTTATTCTAGAGATTATTAGTATATATATTTACAGTTAAAGGATGATCATGCTCTTTATATGTTTCATTTTTATCTATAAACATAATAACAATGACAGGGCACAATGAAATGATGCTAGACTCACCTGGCTGACTGTGTGGGCAAATCTGATGCTCCTAACAGAGTTTTGTGTCAGTCTGTGTTCATTCCCTTCCCATTGCAGTCAATCAAGTCTTTTACTCCAATTTTTCAAATGATCAGCAAAACAATTGAGTTAGATTATGTTTTTTTCATATATGAATTATAAGCTTATGCATGTGCTTTTCAGTTGACATCCTACATTTTATCCCTATTCATTTTAAAAGTGCTTCTCTGAGTGCTTAAATATTTCTACAAAGAAAAACAAATGCTACTTTGTAGTGTCTCTCATGGCTCCTGTCAAGATTATTGTGCCCCATTGATTTTAGGAAACATTAGTGCAAGCAGCCAGACTATATAACTGAATTTGTGCCCGTAAGCATCAAGATGCCACAAAAAGATTAATCAGTGGGGTCTCAGATTGACCGATGAAACTAAGAGAAGTCTAAAGACCAATAGATTTCACTATTATTTCAAAGAGGAAGCATTCAAAAAGGTCAAAAAACATGGTGAAACTTTTATTTTTAACAGATGATTTCTTCCACTATACTCCAGGTCCACTTACTTTGGGAATAATGTGACACAGAGATATACATGTATGTATATACCACAAAAGACACATATATGTATATTTCTCACCTGTCATGTTAGTTATTGTTTCTCCTTCAGAATTTATACTCATCTAGTGAAGTTTTTACTAGTATTTCTCTAGAAAATTATGAAAAGTTAAGAAATACCAAGAGCTCCTTTCCAAAAGAGTTTATACTCATATGGGCATTCCTATTGAAAGTTTGCATCTTCACTAAGTGTGATAAAAAATACAGTGTTTTTCCAAAAAAAGAAAAAAAAATACAGTGTTTGCTACTATAAGTAAACATTATGGTAAAAGACACATTGCCAGTCGTCTCCCTCAAAATATTCCCTGTTGCTTGAACACACTTAGCTCATTGTTCTTACCCTCTTCAGAAGTAGTTCTGAAGTCCTTTTACAAGTGTCTTTAGCTGCCCTAGCATATCTGCTTGGTTCCCCTGAGCTGATTCAAAACATTTTGACTTTAGGGAAGAACTAAGAGTTGCCCAGTACAGATCTGGAGAATAAGGTGATGAGGACACACTGTCATGTTTTTATGAGCCTGCCCTTTTATTGCATGGCACTGGGCAATAGCATTTGCTTTATTTATTTTTTATCATACCTTGTAAAGACATGAAAGGAAGTCTTCTGTAGAACTGCTTCATGTCTTACAGCATGTTTCAATATATGTGTACTTCATGGAATGCCTAAATGAAGCGAATTAACAATCCATTGCCTTACATATTCATGTTTGTGGTAAAAATACCAAAAATTTACCCTCCTAGAAATTTCAATTATATAATACAAATGGGCAGAGCCAAGAGACAGATAACTTATGCAATGGGGGAAAATTTTTATGAAACCTACATTTGATAAGGATTAATATCCAAATACATATGATAGTCAAACAAGTCAATACGAACAAAAAGATCAATTTAAAAATTGGCAAATACAAATTCAGATATATGAACCAGTGTTCATCATCATTAATTGTATCAAGGAAATGCAAAGCAAAACCACAATGTGATATCATATCACATTTGTTAGAATAGTATTTATCAAAAAAGACCAAATGTAATTTTTTTTTCAAAAAATTTTTTCTGACACTCTTGCCATCATGGCCTTGAACTCACTGTGTAGCCCAGGCTGGCCTCAAACTCATGGCAATCCTCCTGCCTCAGCCTCCTGAGTGCTGTGATTACAGGAATGCACCACCAAGCTCAGAGAAATTTAGCAAATGTTCTTGAGGTGTAGAGAAAAAGCAGTATAAGTCATAGCAACTTTCATAGTGTTTTCCATAATGACTGTACTATGTTCCATTTCCACCAACAATTTCAAGAATTGCGTTTTCTCAGTAATGTATATAAGGTTAATGTGAAGAGGTACATAAGAAACATAAAGTTTAATACTCATTTTCATTTGGATTTTCCAATCATAAGTGTGCATGCTAGCATGAGAAAATGAAGTGCACATAGGTTGCTTAAAATCAGTACAGTAGCAGAAAATCTTCACAATGTGGAGAAGTGAGAGCCATGAATCTCCATCAACTGTGAACATGGCCGCAGACAGCTGCTTCGGGTCCCTGAAGAGTCCTCTTTTTCTACTTCAGGAGTTCCATAGACACAGTGAGATGAATGAGGCAGGACTCAGAATTTCCCATGTTTAGTGAGTCATTTTAAAAATTGTCTTTACAACATATTCATAAAGTATGATAAATGTGCTGGCGAGTCACTTTGCAGCAGAATTAGCTGCATTTTATCCGAGGTACACTTCAGGCTACCTTTGAATTCTCTGAGCGTTTGTATTTAAACGGTGAACAGTCATCATTTAGCCCATTCTTCAACTTTAATTAGAATCACATTGAAGTCAGGAAATTGAGAAGAAATCCTATATTCAATATTCAAAGAATAAGAGTCTATTGTTTTGAAAATATATTTCAGTTTACAGTAATCTATAAGCACTCTCACTGGTTTGTTTTTATTTCTGTGGACATCAAGCATTAGTTGTCAAGTATCAAAGGATGTATGTACTAACATATGATTTTCCCTGATGAACAACAGAAAAATACAAAAAACTAAAATCTTTATCCTAAAATGCTTTTGTAGAACATGAAAGCAAATGAAAATGTGATAACAAAAAATGATACATAATATTTTAATTATATAAACCAGAGAATAGTTTCAGTAGAATAGGTTACAAAATACCATCAACAATTTGAAACTGGGTGAGTACTACACAAAAGAGAAATCTGTAAACATGGAATCTGGATGAAGCAAGTGGTACGGGAGAGTAGGGGGAGTGAAACTCCAGGCAGGCTCCAAGCACTGACGAGCTGTCTGTCCTTGAAGATGTTTACATTCATTCATGGTGCACACACTTTTCCACTTGAGAAAACTTGTCACTGCAGTTTGTGAGGAACTGCAATGATATCATATGTACTAGATGGTATCTCAAAGCCTGAGACATCCTAAGATATCAACCAAAGTTACTTCCAGTTTTGTTCCTTTATTTCAATATTTTGCTAGGAACGTACCTAATATTTTGTACTCTAACAAGAGAGAAAAGTGGACTTAGTTATAACAAGAATAAATAATTATAAAACAGATGATCCCTATATTGTTAATTTGCAAGACGGTAGCCCATTTATTTTATGCATAAAAGGAGCTTTCTTTGAAACCTTAGCTGTGACATTGATGAAAAGGTTTTATAGCTCTGTAGAGCAAACCATAAAGAATATAAAAGTATGTATGTTGCAGAGATAATTGAGTGAATCAAATATGTATACACATATATGATGGAGCAAAAGGCTAGAACGTAGTAAGCAGACTGTGATACATTGGAATAGGTGCATTGTTGATTGTGGTAACATTGATGACAGTGTGGTTGATGACAATGATAAAGTCATCTTTCTATGTATTTAACTTTGGATAGAGCATATTACAAACTTATGCATTACCTAATGTATTTACTCTATGAGAGAAGACAAGTATTTGGTCATGTGTACAAACATTTATACTTTTGTTAAGGTATCTTTGTAGTTGTTCACTAGATTCTAGGTTTTTTATTTTAATGTGAATAAATATATCCAAATATATCAATCTTTATAGTTGGATAGTTGGTATAATCTGAATACTTAAACTTAGTGGTAAACTCAAAGTTACAATATTAAACAAAGAATAAAAATTGTGAATATCAGCACTAATTTTATACTGTTTTCAAAACTGCTTGTGTTTAATTTACTATTGGGAGAGAATGCCATTTATGCAATTCCGCTAATAATGAGCCCTCTGTGTTGCCCCTCTGAACGAAATCTGGCACCGCTTGACTTCTCTCCTCCTCTCAGGTACTTTTCATCATATCCGCAACACAGTCTCCATGGAAACACAATCATTTCCCTAAGAAGACAAAAAGTGAATGATTTCTGCTTAATCCTATCATTATTCATTTTATAACAGGTGAAAAAACTGCAACAGCAGCCAGTACTCTGCATTAAGGACAGGGCAGTTTAATCTTTGCACTAAGGCTGAGGCCACAGCAGTTATGAACTATTTTACTAACTTCCTGGAGGCTTTGTGGCTGATACACATGTAAGAGTGCCTCACAGTGCACTAATTTCGGGGTGGGAAGGATAGGGTCCATGACAGGTAGGACAGTTACGTGGGGAGGATATCATGCATTTGGTCTTCTCAGGCCACTCTCAACACAGTGACACTATCACATATTTGTTGACTGTAGGCTAACCATAATAATTCATATTTAATGTTGATTCTGGAAAAGAATAATGAAAATTCTGATAATGATGCGTAGTTTCTTGTTTCTTTGTGCATAAGCTTTGTGTATTGGGGGTTACCATTCTCCTAAAGTATGAGAATCTTTTGCAGATTTCTAATTTCAATGTACTTCAATCATAAATATATGTCTATATATAATGAGCTATATTTTTAATAAAAATGTTAACATGTTCAGAAAGAAAAAATAATTCAAATTAATTGGAAAAATGGTTTTATACCAAATGTAAAATTTAATAAAACCTAAGACAGCAGTTAAATTTTACAATAACTTGATGTTATTGTAAGATAACACATATAGATCTCTTTGAAAGTAATATGTATTAAATATTCAAATTTAAGTACAGTAAATATGAACAATATTTAATATGACTATTCTATAAGTAATCCTATGAAAATATATCTTAAATATGTGTTATATCCATTAGAATATTCTATGTTTTTTGAAAATAATAGTTTTGACATAAAATGGGGAGGTGTTTAAATATTTTATAAATCAATTCATAGCATATATAAAATTTAAAAACTGCTATTGAGGACTACTCAAGAAGCAAAAATTACCCAGAAGAGAATTCTGACTCTTTAAGATATTAGACACTGGGCCGGGTATTTAGCTCAGTGGGTCTGCCGCTTGCCTCACAAGGGCAAGGTCCCAAGTTCGATCCCTGGTACCAAAAAAAAAAGATATTAGACACTGAGAAATCATATCATGATTGCCTCTTACAGTAAGTACTTTAAAAATCTCAACTATTTTTAATAGGTGCTTTATAATTTTTAAACTGAAAGGTCATTTTTTGCAAATTCTTCTCACTGTTGGTACTATGATTTAATTTTTTTTTTTTGGCATAGTGCAGGAAAAACCTTACAGCAATTATACACAGATTTGAAATCTAAGGCCCTCTCATTAGTCTTATTTTGATCCATGCCCTTGACAAGAAAGAGCACCTATTCAGGAAAGAATAAAGGCTAGAGGCAATGTTCTGCACGTATTTATTGAATGAGTCATTTTAACGCACGTGTCAAGTCTCAACATTGAATTCAGCTTAATTTTATACAGCTAATTGCTCTCTCTTGAAATGGATTGCTCCCTTTTTACAGGGAAAATGAACAAAATATAGACAGTTATTATTTTGCATTAAATTAGAAATATATTTGGATGTATAGAAATGAAGACTTGTGATTATATTCTTAAATATAGACATAATATGCCTTATGTAAATTTGATCTCATCTATGCCAATCTTGGCAGTTACCTAATCACTTTCTTATTCAAGGTTTTGGGTTCAACAATTATCCTTCCTTTACATGATACATTTTTCTTTCCATATAAATAAAATGTTATTTACTCCACCTTAAAACATCTTAAAATTTTGTTGTGTTTATTAATTTATTGGTGCTCTTTACAGCAGTACTCCTCTGAAGAATTCTCTCCATTTATAGTTTCTGTTTCTGTCTTGTACTTTCTCTTATCAACCAGCCATAAAGGTGTTTACTCCTGCCACCCTGGTTAAACTATTCCAGAATTCTCTCATGACAATGGTTGATTTTCTGTAATTTATTTTGCTGTGTGCCTTATCTTGCAATAATTTCACTTGGGTTCCTGGACAGAAAACATCACTATATTTCCTCCTATTTGACTCACATGTATGTGTGTGTGTGTGTGTGTGTGTGTGTGTGCATGTGTGCATGTGTGCTTTCTGATTCTCTCTTCCCTAAGAGCTCACTGTTGGCAGGATCCAAGCTTCACATCACTGGTTCCTTTCTGTGCTCTAATAAAGTGTGTCTTCCGCTCACTTTAGTCCCCTGATAGTGTACATTTCTATGCCAAGTAATCCAACATCTTTAGTCCATACCATTTCTTATAGATCTAGTCTTCCATATTTAAGTGTTTATTTTATAAAAGTTTGGAACACAAGACACCTCGAGCCAAACACTCCAGACATCTCCCTGTGTTAACTCATTTCTACCAATCTTTGCCGACCTCAGGGTTGACAATCCCTTTCTATATATTACTCAGGCTAAAACCATAACCACATACTTGACTTTTTCCTTACACTCCAAGTCCATTTTGTCATGGAATCACATTATCTGCCCTTTAAACATACCTAAAATTCTATTATTTTTAAAAACCATGCCTATGTTACAGCCCCCACCATCCCTGACTTGAATTTGTTCAGTAGCTTCCTAGGTGGCCACTGTGTTTCCCAACCTGCCTCCCCCACCCAAGTCTTCAACCCCGCACTAAAGATCGATTCTGGTAAAAAGCGTACCAGGTGATCTCAGCCTTCTGCGTGAAGTCTCCAACATCTCGCCATGTTGCTTGCTGCAAGTGTCAAAGCTCTGCAAGGCCCTTATGAGCTCCTCTGTTGTCTTATCTCTTACTTCTCCCTCCCTTGTGCACTTTTCTCTAGTCCTGGTGGCCTTTTTCTTCTTTACATGAACCAGGACACCAAGTATCTTACCTTGCTGGACCTACCTCTACCTGGAACTCCTTTCCCAGTGAATCTGTGATTTGTTCTTTCACCATGTTGAAATCATGACTAAGACATCACCTTCTCACTGAGCCTTACCCTGGCCATGCTAGAGAATCATTACTCAGTACCCTTCCTTCTGCACTATTTCTGTCTGTGCTTGGTTTACCTTCTTTTGTTAATAGGCTTCTATGACCATACAGTGTACTTTATTTTGTTTACAGTTTAAAATCATTCAAACCTAGCTATAACATGCTACAGTATTTCCAAAAGAGAGTTGGAATAGATGTCCAATTTCTTCACCCATGAAATCTAAGTACCTAGAACAGCACCTACCACATAGCGAACTTATAATAAATATTTGCTTATATATTTGTAATCATATAACTCAAGATTTAATTTTAGAATGATTTTCTGCTCATATTTATTGAAGTGTGAAAAAATTATAAAACCTTTTAGTATATGTTATATTCCTACATTCTAAAAATATTGGTAAAAATATATGGTAATCACTTTTTATGGATGAAAATTTTGGTTACATTATACAATTGCCAGTTTACTGATTTTATGCCCTTATATCTTATATACATATTATAATTTCTTGTCTTTACATCTTTTCCTACTGTACAAGACTATGTATATGTTTTGTATTTGTTTATATATTTTTAACTTATACAATTTAGAAAACTTATGTATTCATAGTAAATATACCAGACTGTTCATTAATTGACAGGAATAAAACTAACCTAGCTTGATAAAATCATCAAGTGTTTTATCCTTACTTTTATATACTTTAATGAGTATGCTACAAATGAAATATATTAAAAGTAGAAAACTAATCAACTGGAAAAAATATTTTAGCATTATAGGATATTTAAAAAGTCGAAATACAAGAATGATGGAAAGAATGCATATTGTTACCAAATCTATTTGAAATTTAAAGATGGCTGTGGCCAGAAGTATGTTATAATACCTCTCTAAGCCTTGATTGATTTCTTCATGTACAAAATAGGAAAAATAATATTCACCTTTTATGTAATTTTATTTTTTAAAATAATATGTGCAAATTGTGATTTAAAATATATGTAAATAATTTATAGCAATGTACTAAAATATGATTAAAATAACATCTTAATAATGATCTAGCTCTCTATATCCATATTATTGTTTCTGTTTTATGTACAAAAAGAAATATTTTATATGATATATATTATGCATTATATAAATTATGTTATAGATTACATAGGATGTAAAAGTATAAATATAGGGAAGCATAGAGAAGCATACATGTGAAAACACACACCTACTCTTTCATTGCTTTCACGTATTTACACTGTTTGAGCAAAGATAAGTGATCATAAATTCTGAAACATCTCTAAATTATCCAAAATAGAATTTGGTGAATATCTATACCATGAATACTGCTTTGAAAATCAGTTTCATATACGTAAATTTGAACCATCTAACTTACCATAGACATTGAATTCTAAAAATATCTAAATTAATAGATAATGTGGTATCTTCTATTTTAGTTTAAAAGCATTTTCTCATTTGTAATTTTATTTTTAATAAAAAATTCCGTGTACAACATACTATAAGTATTGTTGTATGTAACTGGATAGGTTTAAGTTACAAAACAATTTTAAGCTGATATGTCAAATTTTTATTTGATAAAAACTTTGTATATTCAAGTACAGCATAATATTTTTTTGTGTGCATGTATATTGTGTAATGATTAAATCAAATTAGCATTTCTATAATTTCATATAATTATCATTTTCTTGTGTATGTGGTGAGAATATTTAAAAATATACCCTTTTAACATTTTCAATTAGTTTATTGCTAACTAACTTCACCACGCTACGTAATAGCTCTTCAGAACTTTCCTGTCCTGCATGGTTGAAATTTTGTAACCTTTAACCAACTACTCCAAATTCACTTCCATCTTCTGACCCAGCCTCTCCTCTCTTCCTTTGAGAGTTTGTTTTTGACCATTTTAGAGTCCACTGTAAGAAAGATTATGCGGTATTTTTCTTTCTTTGCCTAGACTTATTTTATTTAGCATAATAACCTCAAGTTTCACCCATATTACTGCAAATGACTGCATTTCTTGCTTTGTTCTCAGACTGTATTGTATTCTATAGTGTAAGTATATCACATTTTATTAACCCATTTATCTTTTGATAGGCACTTTGATTGAGTCCATAAGCAGCTACTGTGAATAGTGCTGCAATAAACACATTGCTTTTTCTTTCCTTTGGAGATATAGATAGATAGATAGATAGATATAGATATAGATACAGATATATATATATATCATAGGGTAGTTCAGTTGTATTTTGGGAAAAACTCTTGTATGGTTTGCATAATGGCAGTACTAATTTACATTCTCAGAGATACTGAGGGTTTTTCTTTTCTCCAAATATTCATCAGCTCTTGGTATGTTTTATCTGGTAGGAGTCATTCTAAGAATGATGTGATATACTACTTGACACTAAGCTTTTTTCACATACCTACTGATCATTTGTAGGTCTTTTGTTGAGAAACATCTATTCAGGTCTTTTTGCCCATTTTTAAACCAGGTTATTTGTTGTATGCTGTTGACTTCCTTATAGTTTGTAGATATTAATCCTTTATCTGATATAAGGATATTAATCTCATAAGGAATTTTGTTTGGGAATATTGTTTACTCCCATACCATTGACTATTCATTCTGTTGATTCTTCACAATTTCATGCAGAACCCTTTCAGTTCGATGGAATTTCATTTGTCTGTTTTTGTTTTGTTGACTAGGATTTGGGGGTCACATGCAAAAAAATCATTTAAACGCAGTGTAAAGAAATGTTTTCTTTATGTATCATTTAAAACCCACTTAATTTAAGAAATAAAATAAAATATGAAAAATATACCACCAAAAGAATTCCTATTAAAATTATTTTTAATAAATATTGGGTTTTTTAACTACTTTAGATAAAAAAGTTAAAAATCAAACAAAAGATGAGATCAGATCAATAATATAGCATGGATAATTTATTATTGTTTGGTAAATTCATAGTTGTATTTAATCAGATAAAAATAAAGATCATCATTTGGCATTTTATGCCAGAGGTCATTGCAGAAAACATTTGCCGCTGGTTTTACTGGTTGTTTACATATTGTTCTGAGAAAAATGATACAAGGTCCTTGAGAGACCTTTGGCCATTAAGTACATCCCATGGTTTCCAGTGCTGTTTATCCAATAAGACAGAGAACTGAGAGTAATATGTTTTAAAAAGCTTTCCTCTCTGAAATAAATATGCATTTTTAAAAGTTGAAATATTTCATTTGTATCATTTAATGTCCATTTAGCAAGCAAATGGCTAATCAAGATTTTACTGCAAAAGGAAGATTCTGAAATGCCGTAGCCATTTTAGTACCACCACGTCATGTAAATTTTAATATACGTATCAAGTTTATTTTACATTAAATATTATATGTACACTGCATTATATAGCTTTGGAATGAGAATTTATACTGGTCCTGACAATTTAAGTGTGCAAATAAAATTTGAAATACATGGAGTTAAGATAAATAAATGTGTACCTAAGGCAGTGATCTACATCATAGAAGAATATAAAAGGAACACAAGACACTATACCATCTATTATTACTATGTCTTTTTAAAGAAGGTCCTAGAAATTAGAAAAATAAGGGCAAAGTCATTCAAGTGAAAGTACAATGAAGCTATCTCTTGCTCAACATATTCCTAATCATCATTCTAAAAAATTTTTCACTTTTGCATATATTATTTACACCACTTCTATATCCCCTCCAAAAGTAAACTGATTACAATTATAAATGTTAAAAGAGGCAAAATTCAGAAATACGGAGATTTGATTTCTATAAATTTCAAGGAAGTAAAAACTAATGTCAGGATTTCTTTCTCTGATAAATGAAACCTCAAATAATTTATTCAAAATACATATAAAATTATGTTTATGTAACTTGGTTATAATTTACAAATGTTGTTCGCTCAGGAAGCTTACTGAATATAACATATAAAACCATAATAAAAATTACTTTTTTCTCTTTAACATGATCATACATGATTTTTCACTAATGTGAAGGCTATGATTTTAACCTTATAATCAAAGCATTGCAAACAATAATGGAAATAATTGAGGCGATCTTTGCAAATATTATTTGTAAAAAGATATCACAAGGAAATATTTTATGTGTAAACTGTAAGTCTTTATTCTTTTTACTCGTTGGGAGTTTGCTTAACTTTCTTATTTCTTATTCCCTTTAACTCACACTTTCTTCCTCTCCAAAGTCCTGTTAAAGATGCTGTAATCCTGGCTATATAGGAAAGTCTGTAGCTTGATTCTTGGTGCAGAACAGCAACTTTCCCCTCCCTCCCTCCCGTCCTTCCTTCCTTCTGTCCTACTCATGGCTACTTCCTTTGTAATGCTGGAGTAAAATCAGTGATTATAGATTTTGATAGAATTTTGAGATTAAGAAATTTTCTGATGTCAATAACTTATTTTTTGCCCTTTGTAATTTTGCTTCTTTTATTATATTCTTTCATTCACAAACACCGTATGCAAACATAGACAAACCAATTAAAATATTAAAGGTTAGTCTATATGGGTCAATGCTGGTGATATCAGCATTTGATTTACATTGTCAAATGATATATTAGAAAGTGATTTTTTCGAATCAGGGTCTCTGTCTATGTAGTTCAGGCTGGCCTTGAACTTACTTTGTAGCCCAGTTTTTGTAACCTCAAACTCAGGACAGACGGTGCTCCTGTCTCAGCCTCACAAGTGCTGGTTTGCATGCATGAGCCACTGCACCTGGTTAAATGATTTATTTTTTTAACTGATAAATATTGTTCTACTGTAATTAATTGATTTCACTCCATATATCCATACTAATCTGTCCTTTCTTTAAATTTAAAAATTAGGGTTCAAAAATATTCAAAGTGATTTTTTTGCCTTTTCTTATGCATCTAATAAAATGTCAAATTTTAAAAATTGAGTAAGTAAGGAATTATAATCAAATACATGGTTGTTTTAGTACTTTGGGATCAAAGCTCAAGAGAAGTGAAACAAAGGCCTGTTGTTAAGTCATGCAGGATATTAGTAAATAAATGTATTATTAATACATTAATAAATGTACAGCTAGTCCCTGAATTACAATGTTTCAATATGTGATATTTTTACTTTATCATGGTACAGTGTGATCATTGCCTAGTAGAAGCCACACGTATAATCGTGAACTTGTGTCCTCCCGGCTGGGAGAGCATGCACAATGCTCTCTCACAGGGCCCGCAGGGCAGTGGCTGGAATTCCCAGTCACCAGCTCCCCAGGAGGGGGTGCCACAGACGCCCCACGGCCCGTGGTGCTGGCAGGGGTTTGGACTTGTGTGCTGTGTGGCATCTCCGCGTGTCCACAAAACTCCTGTTTTACAGGTATTCTGTTTTACACGTTCAGTACAGTATTCAACAGATGACGGGACATGCAGCACACTCTTATAAAGTAGGCTTTGTGGTAGATGATTGCTCCCAGCTGTGTCTAATGTAAGCCATTCTGAGCATTTTTAAGCGGAGCTGAGCTAAGCCATGCGATTTTGTAGGTTAGGCATATTAAGGACATTTGTGATTTACAACACTCAACTTACACCAGATATTTTAAGACTTAACCCCATCAAAAGTGAAGGAGTATCTACACTTGTTAATTTTATTTTGCTACTGGAAATGTCATATTTAGTTCAATTGGAAGAATTTATTATGCTTCAGGTGGTATGGAAACAAACACTGTGATCAATAAGTAAATAAACAGATATGTTTTGTACAAAATTAAAATTGAGTATTTATACTTTGAGATATAATTTTATCAAATTACTAAACTAACAAACTACAAAGGAAGAAGTATGCAGCAAGTAATCTAAAAACTATCAAAATCATATTAAAAGTTTTTAAAGCGTATTCAATTTTATTTTAAAGTTTGTTAAAGGATTTTTTCTTTCTTCATTGCATGTATCTTTCCAGTTTCATTAAATCTCTATTTTTCCTTCTTAATAGCCACCTATTATTTCACTCCTGTTCATTCTTTTTTAACTTTAACAATCAACTCCACATTCCTTCAAACACTGAATTCTGTTGCTTCTGTACATACCCTTAGTAATAATTTGGATCCAATCGAGATAAAAGAAGTATAGGAAGAAAGCAAGTTTACTATGGAAGATTAAATCCCAGTTGTTGACATGAGCAATTCATGTGCCTCAGTAGAATAGGTATATTTAAGATTTTCAGCAAAACTTTTTTCCTGGTGGTTTCCCAGATGGCTATGTTACATATTATCCAATCACCTCACACTGCTTGCTCTGGAGTAAGTGACTGTGAATAAACTAATGACTGTCTCCCCTGGAATTTTTGAGTTTGTGACTGTAAGGGATTGCAGCCATCTGTCTCTAGTGCCTGAAGGATTTAATCTCAATGGATTTTGGAAGCCATATGTACTAGCAGTTATTTTATCAGAAAGCCAAAATAAGCACTAGTTTTCAGAACAAGCAAAAATAGGAAGTCAGTTGCTCAGAGATAGAGACTAATAAAACAGAAGGTTTCTCAAGGGCTGCACATATTCCTGAGGCCTGGAATCTCTTTTTAAATTTTGTTCAGATTTTCCGTGTTCTTATAATGATTCCTGTTCACATCTATGGATTTGTATTATGATTTGGGCAAATATATCATAAAAAGGAGTGCAAATATATCGTGGGCTGGCATGTCTGCCTGGGTTTGTCAGCTAAAATTTATAAGAAGCGCGTGTAATCAGATCGCCTCAGTCCACGGTGGCTTATTAGAAAGAGAGAGCAGATAACAAGGAAAGTCCTTCTCCATAGTCCTGGCCTCCAGCAAAGGTTCTCTACTCACCCATATTCTGCTTGGGATTGGGGAACTGCTTAGATCCACCGTGGTGATTCTTGATTCCAGACCCATTTCTTCTGCTTCTTCAGCAGCTGCTTCTTCCCATTTCTTTGGCAATGCCCTTTAATATAAAAATTAAAAACTAGCAATGTATCCATAGAATTTCAGTTCCTTGTAAATATAATGTGTGCCCAGCCTCATGTTAGATTAGAAAGAAGCTCCGGTACTGACACAGTTCTGTCGGTACACCAGGCGTTAGAGTATCACTAAAAATGAGTGTGAAATGGCAGGGAGGCAGTATTACATCTGTATGTACTCACAAAACCTGTTTAATGGTCTTCCTTTTTGTTCTTTTTTAACTGCTCTTTATGTGCTCTTGGTTTCTACCCTTGGTATGTGCTATTACTTGCCCTATCTAGATGTTCATAAGCAATCACATGCTTTACATTATCATCTTAGCAATTCTGAAATGGGTATCATCCAATCGGACTTTTGACAGAACTGCAAAATGTTGATGTAAAACTTCTTAGTGAATATTTATGCCCAGATAGTTCAGCATCTCAATTTAACATATTTAATATTGAATGTACTATTTTCAAATGAACCTCTCTCCTCAAACACTCCTACTCATAGAGTTACCCCAGCCTACAATTTGATGACAATACAGAAGTCTCTTTTTCTGTTATTTGCAACTAATTACTAGATCCTGTGAGTTGAATGCTTCTAGATTTCCAGACTCTTCATCCCATTGCTCATGTCATAAGTATTCCCCAAATCCCCCCTCATTTAGATTACTAAGGGCAGAGAATACAACTCAGGATGTTGAGATCTGAGGCCAGAATACAGTTTTCAACTTCTAGCTATCATACTTACTCTACAACTTTAATTTTTCTGTACTGTAATATACTATAATGGAAAACAGAAAAAAAAATCACAGTGCTTACATCACAAGTTCACTGTAAGGATTAAATATGAACCTATGTTTAAGTGCATAGACATAGTTTAGTAGTTGAGTAAAAGCTTCATTGATTTTGGTTTATATTGAACTTCAACACTCCAGTTTCTCCAGTTCTTCAGGGGTTTCCCCCCCGATTATCAATCCAAAACAAAAACTTGACCTCTCCTAAGCGCTCTAATTGACTTTAGTTACTTTCATCATAATATTCTGACTCAGTACGTGTCATGGTTTGATTCATGCCTGCTAATCCTGCATCATCTATCAGGAACTGAGGCTTTGGAACAATGACTTAATCAGGTTTTCCTGCATATACCTAGCTGGGTCTTATCTGAGGCTTTCCTTAACATGTGCTCTGCTTTCTTCCTGCCTCTCTGTTGAGTTTCCTCTTAATCTCTCTAAGAAATCAGACTGATTCATGCACTACTCTCAACTATTCTTTGTTCATTTCTTCCTCTGATTTTGTGATATCTCTTTCATGAATAGCATTCTGAAGAAATCCCGTATTTCAAGACTTCCTGCATTAATTGATTTTTGCATTGGCCCTTGATTTAGGGTTTGATATTAAGAGAGGATCTGCAAAGTAAGCAGTTTTGTGTTTTGCTATAATCACAGGGAAGTTATTGAGAGGTCTGAAGCAACACAGAATCAGCCTGAAATGGCACTTTAAATATATATCCAATTAGGGAGAATGGAATAGATTAAAAGAGGATCTCCAAATGGAAAATGGTTTTAGTTCAAGTCTCTATTTTTTTCATGGTTCTCTGTGGACAAAAACACCGAAGGATTCTGTTTATTAAGTAATTATGTCCAACCAGCGGAACAAAAGCAGTTCATATGGCCTCCAACAAATATCAGCATGTTTCCCTTGAAAATTTAAAACACCCTAAGGGCCAGTCCAGTGAGTTCATGTGGTATCCCAGTGCTCCTTGCTCATATTGCTTAACCATAAGACTGAAAGTACATAAATGGGAAGACTTGAGACAAAAGATCATGTGGAATAGGAGTAAACAAACTATAACCTTTGGCCTCAATCTATAAAACAAGTCTTATTTAAGTACTGCTATGCTCAACACTTTATATACTATCTTGAAGTTAGAATAGCAGAACTGGGTAGCTGGTACAGGGTCTATATGCACCATAAAGTTGAGAATGTTTACCATCCCATCTTTTACAGGAAACACTTTTAGCTTCTGATTTAGAAGGATGATTCAATTCAAAGTGTGATATGATAAGGGCGTGGACAATGACACAGGCCCCGAAATTCAGTGTCATTATATTGAATTAATAGACTTCTGAATATCTCCTATATGTCATGTGTTCTTGGGAAACTATAAGAGATTTGTCATGATGTTCAAATGTTATGGATTAAATTTGAAATCATGGCTGCTTGATGTGTATAATTTTTTCCTAAGATCTCTTATTAAAATGTGTCAGAAAATTTTATTTCTATCAAAGATCAATTCCTTAATCAGACAATAGGTGATGAGGAACAAAGATAATTCTAAAATGTGTCCTTTCAGACATTGAAACCCATGGAAAAGTTGATTGTTGATATCATCAGAGAGAAGATTGCAAGCAAGGTTTTAAGAAAGGTCAATTACCATTGTGATTTTAGGTAATGGATATGGAAATCCACCTTAAAATCATATTCTACTGGACTTGCAAGCTGGTCATGATATGCTAACTAAGGAGAAATTGCTTTCTCTTTTCCATTAAGAAGAAGGCTTGGTATGCTTTTCCATTAGAAAGCATCATATTTATGGATAATTGAAATCATTCCTTTCCTATTTAAGGATAATTACAGATAACAGAATTAGTCCCCAGAACTATCTGTCCTTCCTTCCCCCCCCAATCTGTAACCTTGATCAGTCATGATCCACTCAGCATAACTTCAGAATATCAAAGTATTCTGCAGGTAATCACTCCAGATTCATACACATAATCGTGAAGGTGGTTTCTGCAATATTTTTGTAGGATTAAGATGATACCTGAGTTAGAGATAAATATAAATTAGTAGACACAATAGATAAAATTCAGATGTGAGCTACTCTATAACCTACAGAAAAAGCCTATATTTTATATGCATGAAACATGTGTGTCTCTTGGGCCGCAGATGTAGGTCAGTGTTAGAGCATTCGCCTAGCATGTGCAAGGCTCTGGGTTTGATACCTAGCATGGCGCAAAGAAAAAAAGTGTATGTGTGAGTGAGAGAGAGAGAGAGAGAGAGAGAGAGATTATAAACACATAGAAGTTCTCTATCTGTATTTTGCTACGAAAGAAAAATAGAAAAAAAAATTATTTTTGCTGTAAAAATTAAAATTTCATCTTTTTCTAGATTAAATAACTTAATCTATATTAATAAACCAATAAAATTTCCCTATTGCACTTTCAGCAAATTATTCGAAACTCTTATAGAGAATTATTTGCTTGAGGTATTTCTTCTGGCTATTTCTTTTATTTCTTCTAGATGTTGCTGCTGGAGTATTTCTCAAACAAACAAAAAAAAAGAAGCTCAAATCCTTTCATTTTTCCACAGACAAAAGAGTTTTCTTGCATCTCAGACTTATTAATGAGTATTGTGATGTTCCCAATCCGACTGCAGGTCCAGTGGCAGACTTCTTGCTTGAAATTCCAATGCTTATGTGAAAATGACGGATGGAGGATTTCTAGGTTCTGGTCGTCTTGCACAGCCAAAAGCTGGGGGGTGGGGGGGGGCAGCTTCCTGTCCCCGCACTACTGCTCCGCCTCCTGCACCTCTGCATTGCTTCTTCCCAACCTCTTCCCTTAGAGTCAGCTACACTCTCTGCACAGCTATCCTTCATGCCATTTTCTGTTCACATCCATCTCTCCAAACACTGAGGCATTCTGAACAAATTGTGTCTTAGAATACTATTTATCTCTCAGACACCATTGCTTTTTGACCCACTGGAAGCATCTTGTCGCCGTTGATGTCTTTTCTGAGTTTCCGAAGCTTTCCAGCATGTCACTGCCACCCCACAGATACAGGGACTTCAGCTATTTCCCCGTTTACTCTTCCCCCATGGTCACAACTTTTTACTATTACGGCAGAGGCTAGTTGCTCCTGGCTTTGCACAAGATACCTTGGTTTCAGACATTGTCTACAATTTATAAATACTTTTTAACCCAGAGAATATTTTGAGAAGAATTTTATAGTCCTTGCAGTTCAAGAATCAGTAATTACTTTCCAACTGTTTACATGCCAGGCCATTTTAAAGTATTGCCTGAGAACAAACAATTTTTCATTAGTGACTTGTTTACTAAAAAATTGTAATGTGTTTTGCAATAAATTTTTCCATTGCTGTAGACAGATTATATTACTCAGGTTTTTTTGTTTGCTTGTTTGTTTGTTTGTTTTTTGGTACTGGGGATTGAGCTCAGGACCTTGCATTTGCAAAGTAGGTGGCAGAACTACTGAGCTAAATCCCGGGCCCTATTACTCAGTTTTAAAATAAAACTTAATGCTTAAAAATCTTATTTAAAGAATATAGTATATTTGCAATAAATTATCCTGAATTGGAGATATCATGGGTACGAATTTTACATGTAAATATGAGAGACATAGTTTCAATTAGATTTCATGACTATGAATCAGAAAATTGTACTCATATTATCATAGTCCCTATAATATATGCAAATTGCAAACATCATTGAACTGAAATTTGTTTATTTTGAAAAATTAAGTCATCTTGCTAATATTGAATCTTGTGTTTCTTTTTTATATGACATATTTATTGTCCCATTAATGTAAACTTAAATTAAAACATGGATAAAAGAAAAATGTATTAAAAGTATTTTTCCACAAGACAAAATTTTCACTTTCTGTGAAATGGAAAACATTGGAATTCAAATTTTCAGTTCAATTCTAAAACAAATATGTAAAGCTGGCTAGCTTTTTGGCAGTAAGTATATTCATGGCAGCAGATTCATGGCAAAATTTTCTAACCATGGCTGAATAAAATTAATAACTATCCTTTCTCCTTTGATATTTCTTCTAATTTTGTATTTGGATAAAAGAATAAGGAGTGCTTTCAATCAATTTTTTTTCAATTATGAAAACTTCATACCCAAATTTTGTTTTCATGATAAATCCTTTGAGTTTTTTCCTCCTCTTGTTTCACTTTCTCTGCTACTAATCCCGACAT